TGCCGCATGTGAAGCTCGACCTCGACCATCCGACCGGGCTCCTTGATGCTAGTCACGGCTGATGTCCCGGCAAGGATGAAAAATGCCTTTTTTTTGTCACCAATGGAATTTGGAATCGCTGAATTGTCACCTGGAGCCAAATTTATCAGGAATCGTTCCAATACGACTCTAATTTTATTAAACCACAAAACAAACAAATTTAATGCAATGCAGCACAACCATCAAACATTTTCGTTTGGGAGTTCATTTTCACTAAAGTATCACTTGTTGGCATCAAACACTGAATGATGGTTAAGACAAACCAGCTTAGAGGTTTGTGATGATGATTTTAGGGCGCATAGACATCGAAGGTCAAATCACGTAATATCGGCCTAGAGGTGTGTGGTTTGCTTTTCAGTTGGGGAGGGGCTGCCTCTCCTAACCAGAGATGTAGTGTCCTCTTTTATCCATCATTTGTATTTCTAATTTTTCATCACCATTTTTTAGGTTCTAGCCCCACAACTTATTCTGAGAAACTATGCCCCTCCTCAAATTCCAAAAAGAAAGTTCGTCAAATCTGGGGAAAGGATTGTTTTAAGTGGATTTCGGACGTAAGGCCAACATTTTTCTCCTGCACCCCACCCCTGTCTTGTTACCTGTTCATTCGCGCCTTCTCAATTCCGGATCACACGCACGACGCTCCACAGTTGACGTCTGTATTTGAACTGCACCACCGGAGTCCAACGGAATCGCGTCAAGGTACACCGTGGCGCACAAGGCACGATAGCGATGTGGGGGAACTGGCTCCTAAATTGAGGACGCTATACATTTCACCTGGGACATCACATGACAGCCCCCCTCCCTCACCCCTACGTATTTTGCAAATATGCATCCTTTTGGCTGTTCATCTGCCGATAATCTGATTCTACAAGCACCTGAAAAATATCACTGCTGGTTTTGTGACACCATTGTACAATCAGCAGGAAGCGTTGGCGAGCTTTACTATCTTTGCATAATCACTGGTATCACTGGTACAGGCCTCTCACTTCCTAACGTGATCCCAGCCAACTAGTGCAAAACCCGCGCAAAACTGGTCTGAGCAGGTGCAAACGGAATTTTTTTGATACCTCTGGCGCCTTCATTTAGCTCTAAATGATGACAATGAAAGCGTTTTATCTCACGCCTGTCTACCGCTCAGAACGCTAAGTCCGAGGTGCGACGGAGTGTGAGAGGTCTTCACCAGCGATGCTCGGCATTTTATCTCAAAGCCGTTCTTCCACGCAGCAGCAAGATTTCCTGAATGAATCCTTGATATGTGTCGTTCCAACGTCCTTCGTTGGCCTCTGAAGCCACCGTTCGGCTATCAGCAAACGACGAGCCTCATAGGTCGGCAGGACATTTTCACGCCGTTACCCGGTGACGCCCTCCATGGTGAATCTTAAAACCGCACAGCGCCTTAAAAAAACTGACGATTGGCTACGTTCTTCAAGCTTCTCAGCTTCTTACACGAACACAACCAACGGCAGCCCACAGCCTCGCGCTGAACCCAAATCATTACTGTGTGGCGAACATTGAAGCCATGCGCGACGCTTTAAAACGCTGCCTGGCAGTCTGATCACGTCCTCGCAAGGTTGCTGCGGCCAGCCACCATTCTCACGACTAGTAATAAGCCTAGTTATCTGGTATATTGGCCCTGTGTAGCATGTGAAGCGAATGTTGGCCGACAAAAAATCCGTGAAAGGACTGATCTGAGGGGCATTGGAAAAACACTGTGTCACCACTGACCCGTGACGTCAGCAGTGAAGTATAATTTTCTAGTATATGTCTGTCATCCACTTACAACTATCCTGATTAAAGCTTCTATCTTGTGGCTCAACTTGCTCATACAGCGAAACGTCAACGTTTCGACATGCGCTCTGCACAACCCCACGCTGCGAGCGTTAGCGAATGCAAACTAGTACTAAGTTTTGGGCTTCATCTAGCTAGGATGGTCTGCTGTAATATGGTCTGGTTGGTTGTATTGTTTCCATTGTCGCGATTGTCACCAGTCTACTCACAAAATTGTCCATTTTTGTTACCAGTGGTATCCGGTAAATGAGAAGATTTTTCACCCTTGTATTTTGGTCCCTATGCATTGGTTGGAAGTGATTTGTTGTGTTCCTGGACGTCAAGGCGCACGCATTGCCCCTTCCGGTCGTGGTACAGCATAACGCACATAACTATCGGTGACTATATGCGCTATACAACGTGGTCTCCTACTCCATGTGGTGTACGGTGCACACCTCATGGGAGATGGGCGCGCTCCGCAACTCCCTGCAGCACCAGCATCTTATGCCAACGCCGCCCGCCGCAGCCCGCGCGCCAGACGGCAGCAGCTGGCTCGGCCGGAGCCGTCGCCAGCGCGGCCGTCAGCCCTCGCCGGCCGGAAGTGCAGGATAGCCGGCGTCGGCGGTGATGGTGGCCGACCCCACGGGCCATGCCACCGCAGCCGCCGGCGGGCCCGCGCCTCGCCGTAATCTCACGCAATCGCCGCTACGGGTTTATTGCTTCCGATGTTGACGGTTATCGACGTCCAGTCTGGGAAAGCGGACCTCGTGATTGCCTCGGGTTTTCCAGAGAGAGGCTTGGTGGCAGGAATCGATTCGTCTCGTTTGTTTGTTCTTGGAACGTGAGTGATGCAAGTCCACCAACTCTTATGAGCAATTGACCTCTCGTGCAGCCCTGTAATTAGTGATATCTCTCAGTTTTCCCGCATACGCGTCTGGAGTCCCGCTTCGATCACGGATATAGCAAGCAAACCGCAGGGGCCTGTGCTGCCTACTGCTCTAGCAACTTGACATGTTTGGCGGCCAGACACGTGCCCGACTTTCAATGATGGGTGACGGGTCCCGCAGGTACTCCCTCCACCCACCCATAACGAGATCCAGAACGAGTTTTCGGGGATCCATCTCGGGGATTCCGGCACACGTCTGCCAGTTGCTGATGGCGATGTCGGGGCTTGGCAGTTTGGTTGCACGTATCTCCGGGACTAGGTGATGGAAGCACCTCATCACAACTTCCAACTGGCCGTGCTTCGGCGGTAATATGCCTGGTGAGCGAACCTGCACATCCTGGTAGACGGGATACATTATTGAATTTGAAATTGTAATCAATGACACCGCTCGAACCGCTTCGATAATGCTGCAAATACTTCTGAAATGACCGGGAGTAGTTTAGAAAGCCTCATGTGCTGACACAACCGTCGTCAGCGGTACGCGGTCTGCTCTCACGCGGGAGTCTTAAGCGCATAGTGACGCACGCCCCAGGCACGAAGAGAGCCTCGGCTGGTGGTCCCCCCAGGCGCGAGAGAGCCGCGCCTGGTGGATCCCGGCCCCAGGCGCGAGAGAGGCTTGGACTGTCGGCTCTCGGCGCTGTCAGCCCGCGTCCAGCGGGAACGCGAAAGGCGACCAATATGTGCAGGCCTGCGAACACCCCGGGGTCTGTCGTCCGCTCTGCAGCGAGCATCACGTGATCGCCGCGGGCCGAGTGCGTCACTCCGCTCGAGCGGTGGAACGCCGCGCCACTGTTGACTCAGCTGTTGTAGGGCAGCAGCCTTGGGTAGGAGCGAGGCTGGTCCGATACAGTGCTGTCAGCGGCCAGTGAAGGCGCCTGCTGCAGCGTGGTGATTGGTGGAAAGCTGCGCGCTTCAGTGCTGTGTTCTGTGAAGCTGCCTATGCTGGCGTGGGGTAATTGAGGGTGTCGTGGAGAAGGGGGGAGGGCTGTTCCCAATTTTATAAGCACTTAAAATTTGGCTTAAAGGTATTGACTGGAAATCAATAACCAAAAATGGCTGCCCCCCAGCTTGAGAGGACTTCCGTCGTCTCTGACTTCAAGTTGCACGCGTGGGATGTCTGGGATCAGAAGAGGGCTTGCAACTTGCTTGCTTGGGCGGCTTGCACGAGGCCGACGTGAGGCTTATCTCGTTTCAACTGTGACTGCTGGCTTTTCATGTCTAGGTCATGTAGCTTCTTGTATGTGTGGTGTTGTGTACGAAAGTACGTCTCGTCGGCGACGTTTTTTATTTTCCCCGCGGCGAATCAAACGTCTTTCCTTCCTCCTCTGTCCCTGGCGTTGTCCTATGCAACTTCTGTTCCTGGCGTTGGCTTACTCTCTGTCCCTGGAGTTGGCCTACGGACCCTCTGTCCCTGGCGTTGTGTCAGCCTACAGTCCCCTGCCCCCAGCAGTGCCGGCCTTCGGTCTCTCCGTCCCCAGTCTTTGGTCCCTCGGCGTCTGGTCCAGGTCGTTTCGGTCCCTTCCCCTGTGTCGGCCTTCGGTCCCTCCGTCCCTGCGTCGGCCTTCGGTCCCTCCGTCCCCAGCGTCGGCCTTCGGTCCCTCCGTCCGCAGCGTCGGCCTTCGGTCCCTCCATCCCCTGTGTCGGCCTTCGGTCTCCATCCCCAGTGTCGGCCTTCGGTCCCTCCGTCCTGCGTCGACCTTCGGTCCCTCCGTCCCCTGTGTCGGCCTTCGGTCCCTCCGTCCCCTGTGTCGGCCTTCGGTCCCTCCGTCCCCTGTGTCGGCCTTCGGTCCCTCCGTCCCCTGTGTCGGCCTTCGGTCCCTCCGTCCCCAGTGTCGCCTTCGGTCCCTCCGTCCCCTGTGTCGGCCTTCGAGTCCCTCCGTCCCTGCTGTCGGCCTTCGGTCACTCCGTCCCCATGTGTCGGCCTTCGCGTCCATCCGTTCCCTGTGCGCCTTTCGTCCCTCAGTCCCCTGTGTCGGCCTTTCGGTTTCCCTCCGTCCCCTACTTTGTGTCGACCTTCGGTCCGTCCGTCCACCTTTTGTGTCGGCCTTCGGTCCCTCCGTCCCCCAGGAGTCGGCCTTCGGTCCCCTCCATCCCTGTGTCGACCTTCGGTTCACAGTTCCCGTCCCCTCTGTGTCGACCTTCGAGTCCCTCCATCCCCTGTTGTCGGCTTCGGTCCCTTCCGTCCCCCTGTGTCAGCCTTCTGGTCCCTCCGTCCCTGTGTCAGCTGACCGTCCCTCTTGTCTGGCAGTGCGGTGCGCCAGTGTCGACAGCGGCTGGGCTTTCTTCGGGCGGAGGCGCCAGCGACAACAGCATTTTCGGTGCGACCGGACCGGGCGCAGGCCCAGCAGTGGGCCACCTCCTTCCTCAACCCTGATCAACTCCAAATGTGAGTACAGCGGGTGCGGAGTCGCAGCTGTCCGCACGCCCGTGTGCTTCGACCGGCACTCGACAACGTCCCACGCGTCTTCCGCGGCGGCGTGGCTCTCGCTGCGGGCACTGAACTCTTGCTCATCTCCGAGTGTGTACCGCACCCAGGCATTGGCTGCAGTGTGCCGGCCTGCCGCACGCAGGCCCGATACCTTAGCAGACTAGCCCGGTCGGATAACATGCTGGCGCGTAGAAAGTCGCGCTTGGCCTGGGCGCAGTAAACCTCAACCGGGTTTCGCAGACGCCGACATTCTTCTGTGAGGTCGGTCTCCCACCGTACCCTCGCCATGACCGGTACGCGTGGTCGCGCTCCCGCGTCACACACACCAGACCGGGATTCGCCTCAATCCAGGGGCAAACGTGGACGGCGGAGTGTCGCTGTTTCCAGAGAACAGTGCACATGAATGGCCTTTGACCAGACGCATATGAACTCCAGCTCCTCCGCCGCACTTACGGCCCGGTACAACGGGTCCCAGTCTGCCTGCAACAAAGGCAGACTGGACGCGCCTCAGCAGATATCACGCCAGGGGCAAGCACGAAAAGAAACAGGATGTGAGTGCTGCCACCTGAACGGGGCACGAGGGATGGTGGCGAGATGGTCTGCAGTCGGCGCTGGCGGCACCAGACCGGTGTCCTCCAGTTTAGGCATGCTGGTAATGACGTGGTGCAGGAGAGTCGCTGTCGGCTCAAGATGGGTAGGTGTGTCAAAAAACCGCACGAGACCCAGATCTTTTAAAAGAGACAAGTAGACACGCACAGCTGGATTGTCGGGACGCATGAAGTCAATGTTAAAATCACCGAAACAATCACGCGTCTCCCAATGGCACCAGCCGCTCCTGGTTGGTCCTGTGCCTCGCCAAGGCCGCCTGATGTCGGATCGGACGGAGGACGACAGACAACGCCCACAGTGGCCGGGAGATGTCGGCCGCCACTCCGGCGCTGAGTGGCGGCCGACATCTCCCGCGGTGCCGGGAGATGTCGGCCGCCACTCAGCGACACCCACAACGACTCGCATACTGCACTGGCACTGGAGATGGGTGACAACCCCCCGCAGCGCCGGGTCGGGCGGTCCCTGCGCACCAGCCGGTAGCCGGGAAACACTAAGATCCTGACCGTGACTGGGTCAGTCAGCCACGTCTCGGTTATGCACGTGACGTCCAGGTCATGGGCGCGTACGGTCTGAAGCACACAGTCCATTCCCAGGACTGACGACCGGACATCTGCGTGGATGATCGACAGCGTGCCGGCTGGCCTGGCAGAACTGGTGCGGGAGGTGCGTGCTGACTGCAGGGTCTGCCCGATGGTCGGGCGGGCCAGCACCGAGAGCGTCCGGGGCCGAGGCGTGACACAGCGCGACGGCACCCAAGAAGCCGATGATGGCTCACGGGCGGCGGACAACGTGCCGACAGTCAGCGTCCGCCGACTGTCGCACTGTCGCACTGTCGTCCGCCGTGTGGGAGTGTCGCAGCCGTTCTCGCCGTCCGGCTTCTTCATCCCCCCCGTTCGTGCGCGGCTCCAGTACGACAGAACCACTGGTGGCTCATCCGACCCAGCTGGCCACGACCTGAATCTGCCTATGGTCTGCCAGGCGGACCGCAGCTGTGACCTCGTATCACGGCCCAGCGCCAGGTCAAGGCCACGTGGTCGCGATGGGATCCGGCAGAGTGCAGCAGCGTAGCTGCATCTGAACGCTGGTGGTTGTAGACATCCTCACATCTCTTCCAGAATCGGTATAGAACGGTTAGAGCGAGCGGCTAGGCGTCACCCATCCCATGGAAGCTGACATTTGGACAGCACCAACAGCCGACACAAAGGCAGTTAAAAAACGGCTCCGCCGTCAGCTCTGTCGACCCTGAAGCCGAGTGCGAAAATCCAATGCAACACATCACACTCCATTGTGTCTACAAATGCAATGGAAAATGCGGCCGGTGGATAGTCAAGTACCAACGATGTGCGATGCCTGTGTGCAGTCTGTCAAAGGAAATGCTCCACATTTGAATGTATTGAGGCAAGCATCAGATATGATGAAATGCGCTCAGTGAAGGGGCTTATTATTGAGGGGAATCGAGCGGAAATGTATTAAGGAAAAAGCTGCTTGAGAGAGCCAAATTTCTCTATTAAGTAAACGTGCTTTTTTATATGTAATTGTTTCATCGCGTCATGGAACGTTTGTATGCGGCACACACGTGTAGTTTTTCAATCTCCCGAGAACTGGCCGCGACGCTGTTGGATTTGAGTTGAACCAATATCCTTAGCTGCTGGTGTTTTGGCACTTTCTCGCGATGTTCTTGCATATTTACCGGTGATGCTAAGGCGCTTACCTGCATCCACATACTCGGTTATAAGGCTATTCTCAAGTTATTTCATAACAAGTCTTATTCTCGTAATAACTGGGCAGAATTTATCACTTCTTGCCATTATAAAACACCAAACGTAATGCGTGTCAGGATTTTGCATAGCTTGTGCAACATTGTTTGGGAGCCATCGAGGGCCGTTATGTCTGCAAATCGTGCTCACGAACGCCAGCTGTGAACGACTTGACACTTACGTTTATCTTAACCTGGATGCCACATGGCCGTGGCATGACAGGATTTGAATAATGTTATTATGGCGTCATGGATGCCAAGGAACCTTGAAATAGTCTGAACGAAATAGTCTGAACATCTTCGCGGGCGTGTAGCTCAGAAACCAGTATTTTAGGTCTGAAGATGGGCAGGGCTGTGAACTGCACCGAATGATCTTCAGGATGGTTTGTCAGCTCAAAAGCCCATCCAAATGTGGAACACTCCCTGTAAGCTACACAGGTCGATTTTTGTGTTGCTTAATGTGCACACCTGTTGCAGATGGAGTGGCGTTGTTCAAAGGATTCCTGTCACAAGAGTTTGCTGATGAAAATCTGGAATTCTGGCTTGCCGTTGAGGATTTCAAGAAAACGCGACACTGCAAGTTACCAGCCAGGGCTCAACAAATCTATAATGAGTTCCTGGCTGCACAGGCTCCGAAAGAGGTGAATGTCTGATTACTCAGGTTCTGTGAGAAGCGAGTGTCTGGCTGCACAGAAGTCGGGGGAGGTGGGTGTCTGGCTGCACAGGCACTGGGGGAGGTGGGTATCTGGATGTACAGGCGCCGGGAGAGGTGAGTGTCTGGCGGTACAGGCGCCGGGAGAGGTGAGTGTCTGGCGGTACAGGCGCCGGGAGAGGTGAGTGTCTCGCTGCACAGGCTCGGAGAGGTGATTGTCTGGCTACTCCGGCCCCTGAGAGAGGTGAATGCTTGGCTGCTCAGGCTTTGAGAGAGGCGATCGTTATCGGGCGCTATACTGGTTTGTAGCAGTGGAGCGTGCCAGCACTGGTTTCCAGACTGGTCGTAAACGAATCTCGTATCCGCAAATTGGCTTTGTGGTACTTGTCTGCTCGTCGGTTCATTTAAGTTTAAAACATTGCATTCAGATGAAAGATCTCCTTAAATATAGCACGAAACGTCTTAAAGTAATTACTTATGGAAAGTTGCAACAGGTAGGTGAAGCTGCAACAAGATGGATGAGTGAGATTCCAGCGAAATGCTTTGATTCGTTTAGGGATATGCCCATTGCTGTGTACTTGGGTCGCAATCGGTGTCCGAGTTTCTCCTGTGTGCCCGTTGTTGCCAATCATAAGTGTCGGCCGATGCCGTCCTACTGCGGTATCTCGGGATGGCGCAGACGTGTGAAATTAAGTACGCACACTCCCGCTGGTTCACGGCTCGGAAGTGCGGACCTAACTGACGTCTGTTCCTTCCCCTCAGATCAACATCGACTCGTCCACACGGGCGGTGATCGGTAAGCGGCTGTCGGACCCGGATGTGCAAATGTTCGACGCGGCTCAGCGGCGTGTGCAGCACCTGATGGAGAGCGACATCTTCCCACGCTTCCTCCAGTCAGAGATGTATCAGGAGCTGTTACGCGACGAGCACTCGAAAGCCGGGCGCGCAGGTAGCCCGGCCGGCCGGCCAACGCCACTTCAGGCTGTGAGGGGAGGCTTGTGCGCCGGGTCGCTGCAGGGCGTGCGCTATCTCTCCGGACGGGGAGCACATATCACAGGAGAGGCCTGACGGTTCTCGACGCGTCGGCGGCGGCGCTTCGACTGGGCGGCTGCGGCGGCGCCTTCGACCCAGTTCAGAACAGACCACGCTGGGATCTGCGGCTCGCGGAGGGAGTCCATGGCGCCACCTGCACCGTCCCGGCTCACTCGGTTCGCGCCCCCGCTTTGGCCAACGGCTCCCCCTGAGTCCAACATCAGTGCGCGTCGTTCAGCGAACTCCTGTTTGGAGCGAGCCGAGCGCCGCGAACCGTTTGTGTCGCTTTGGTCAACACCTGCCGCCGGCCCGACCGAGACAGGCGCTGCTGGTGCGTACAAGAAACCAGAGGCTTTCGGAAGTTGTCTGGTGTCATATACTTCTACGAGTGTCGTTACCAAATGAGCGTTTTTCATTCGATCAAAGATTAGAGTACGAAGTAGCATTGTTGCCGGTCATTTTTTGCTGTGGTAGAGATAGAAGGACCATATGACAACCGCAGACGGAACTCATTAATTTAGCTCAGATGCTATGGGCTGACGTTACGGCTGGAATGACATCCTCTGTTTTTGATGTGGTGGGCAGGGCTGGCTCCGACAGTCGGTCATGTGGATCTGATCGACTGTTAGGAAGGTTCAGTGTCAGTGGCTAGCATGTCACACAGAAACTGTGGAATGCGTTCAGCGTGTTGACTTCGATGCCTGTTGGTGGTTGGTGAGATACCCAGTGCATGCCCGTTAGATGAGCCAGTGGTTTGAGGTTTGAGAAGCCGGGGTCTGATGCACTGCTCGCGTCCGTCTCGGGAGCCAGTGGGATGTGTTCGTTCATGTCTGCATGCAGGGTCAGCGATCTCGTGCACTGTTACCGCCTGGATGCAGTCAGGGAGCTGGAGCACGGTTTCTACTTGCTTAGAGAGTCAGTGATCCAGCGTCCAATTTCCAGCTGTTTGGAGAGCCAGTAATGTGGCACAGAACGCCCACTTGCATGGTGAGGGACCGACGTAGCGCATCATTTCCACCCCTGTGGAGAGTCCGGTGCCACCTGTTTTGGGCGTGAGCGGTCCGACGCACATTGCCCGCCCGTGTGGAGGTCAGGGATCGGATAGCCGGAGGACGCTGGTCGCTGCACCGGGGGGGGGGGGGGGGGGGGGCTCGGACATGACCGGGTGTCCGACGTGTCCACACGTCCCATGAGGCCGTCGTTGATTGGGTCGGTACGTCTGTGGTGGCTGCTCCAGGCTGGCGGCCCCGGGCTGTGCCAGAGTGCGCCGATGTTTGTCTGGTGGGTAGCTGATCTGATATTACCTAGACTTAATACATGCAGAAGCTCGTGTGAACTCGGTTGCAAAGCAGAACCGCTCAAACGTCGCGGGCGCTGAGGTCCATAACACGACGCGTCTACCCAGCTGCACTGTCCGCCGCAGCCGGCCCGCGGTGCTGCCACAACACACACAGTGACGTCCCCCACTGGCTCACGCCGCGCCGTGTGAGCGTCAGCGGGCGGCACTTCGGGTATTCAGTGGCCCCAGCTGCCGAATCCCGCCTGCCCTGAACAGAGCACGGTTTTACTGTTGGACCCAACGCCCCTGTGGCGACGTCAGATGGTGTTAGGCCGAGCCGCCAGGCGCCGCCACGGGCCGCACGGGAAGCTCCAGAACAAAAGATCGTAAGGAAAAGAACGTGTGCATGTAGTGCGCACGCGATTGTTCGTGAGCACGGGCACGTAATGGATAACATACGTATGACGAAGGTAGGCAACTAAAAAATCATAGGCAAAGGTGTGCACCCACAACTTCGTAGGCAAGGCATGGACTGTAAGCATGGATCGTTTAGGGCTAAATTTTCTGCACAGTTCTCTTATGGGAGTGTAGCAGGGCAGATCGACCACAAGGGTACCAAATTCTGCATCATCATTTCGTAAATTTCCCTGGAATACGGTCTTCGCGGGATGATCCAACTCGTAGGTTTCGACTGTGGAATCATTAGCTTATTCTGGCGCATAACAAAAAACTATACCGTTGGACGATGTTTGGTCAGTGCAAAGAAGGTCCTGACCAATGTGTGTACAGCAGGGATGGTACAGCGGTGGCATCTTTCTCTTTGGCCTTCAAGTTAGTTGGCTACTTCAGAAAAGCGACTATATGCTGGGTGGCACGCGCGTGTCCACCAGTCATATTTCACAAGCCAGGTAGGTGACTGGCCAAGGCCGTCATCTTGTATCAGTGGCGGGCTCATAACGCATTAAGCGGGAGTCGTCGACAGACTCGTCGTCAAGGAGGGAAAAAGAAGGGAACACAACAAAGAACGCAGCAGATCTTAATCACCGGTACCATGCAGAAGGACGCCGACCGGCTTGGCCTGGCTCCCCAGCGGAACGCTGCCAGGCTCGATCCGGCCGCTCACACGGCACGCGGCTGGAGCTGCCGGTTGGCGAGTTCGGCCGGAGGCGGTCGGTTGGCGAGTACGGCGGGAGACGGTCGGTTGGCGAGTTCGGCCGGAGACGGTCGGTTGGCGAGTACGGCCGGAGACGGTCGGTTGGCGAGTTCGGCCGGAGGACGGTCGGTTGGCGAGTACAGCCGGAGATGGTCGGTTGACAGGTGGGCCGCAGACAGTCGGTTGGCGAGTACGGCCGGAGATCGTCGGTTGGCGAGGACGGCCGGGGACGGTCGGTTGGCGAGCACGGCCGGAGACGGTCGGTTGGCGAGTTTGGCCGGAGACGGTCGGTTGGCGAGTACGGCCGGAGACGGTCGGTTGGCGAGTACGGCCAGGGACGGTCGGTTGGCGAGTACGGCCAGGGACGGTCGGTTGGCGAGTACGGCCGGAGACGGTCGGTTGGCGAGTACGGCCAGGGACGGTCGGTTGGCGAGTACGGCCGGAGACGGTCGTGTCTGGGATAGCAGCCGGGCCCATCCGGTCCAGGCCGCTGCGTGTTAGCTGTCCGAGCGTGAGTGCCACTGAAGCCGTGGCCGAAGTGGCCGCACTCCCGGCCATGATCCGGGTTGCTGCTGCTGGGTACAGGTTGGATGCCCTGTTCATGTTTTGGGCGTGGTTTGAAAGAGATTACACATGCCATCATAATCACATCTTTCAAGATAACCGATCTGTCCGCATTTTGATCGATGCCGTCAAAGCTTTCGGAAGTCACGATTAGAAGTAAATGGGGGAAAAGAGTCACGTGGCACATCTTGGTAAACCGACAGGAACTTTCAGACTGATGCGTATTTCCATGCCGGCGGATAGCATAAACATCCTGGGCGCTGGTTTAGCGCCACGCATAATTGTCAGAGGGGTGAGCATTGGAGATTATAAAATTAACTTTAAATACCCGGCATCAAAGCAATCTTTCTTAAGGCCAAATCACAGTCGCAAGGTACTTACATATATGGCGGCTGACGCGCATGACATGCACGCAGGTTAAACGAGCCATCTTGCATTTGATTTCAAACCACACGATGGATTTCTGTGTGACGGACCTAATAAACATGCAGGTAGTCAAAACCCGAGTATTTAAGACAGGAGAGTCTTCATGCATGGACGCCTGTTGTGAAACGGGGGGGGGGGGGGGGTAGCTGGCTGTAAGCAAACGCGCCAGTGGATTCAATTGGTTTCGCAACCTCGCATCTCAAGGTCTTCTGATTCGGACCACCCGCGTTCATCCGGCAAACGCACGCTTGGTGCCTCGTCCACCTCGGCCAGCGCCTCTCAGCGCGGGGCGTCGTGACCATCTCGGCCAGCGCCGCTCAGCGCGGGGTGTCGTGACCACCTCAGCCAGCGCCACTCCGCGCGGGGTATCGTGACCATCTCGGCCAGCGCCGCTCAGTGACCAGGTGACGGGAGCAGGTAACCTGAGGTCACCTGCTTCTGAACGGCCAGATTTCGTGTTCTTGCTTTCGATCGGTGTCAATTTGGAGAGAAGCGGTAAAGCGGTCCGAGTTTAGACTTGGCTACACAGATGGCGGCAAAAAAATATTGGCGGGTTGTCCTATCCTTGGCTCAACAGTACACACACAGCACACGCACGCGAGCGATCAGTATGTAGTGCTCGAGTTAACAGTTGAGGCCCTGACGATACGCACCGAAATAGTACCTCTAAAAAGTTCCTCCTTTACGACCAGTAAGATTGGTCTGCGATTGTACAAGCGTAAAATGACCCCGTATGAGACGAGTAAAATGCGTGGTGAGGCTTGAACTTTGGCATTTTGAAACACCTAGTAGCGAGAAATATCTCGGTTATCCTGATTATTTAGTAGCCTAAAGAAATAGATCATCCATATGTGCGCACTACAATTACATGGCTGTCATTGGCTAGCGGACCTCAGCTTGACTTGCGCCGATACACAAAGGACAGAGCATGGAACGAGCCTTAACAGGGTGCCATGCAGCTGACAAACTAGATACACTCACCTGCGTACCACGCACGGACCGGAATAACGTCGAACCAAAGAAGGATGCGATGCAACTACCCATCTCAACACGCTCACCTGTACGCCACATGCCATACGCAGACTGGGATACCGCCATACGAGTTTTCCTCATGTCGTGTCTAAACTTATGACCTGTCCTACTGCCAGACGCGGGGCATGCGCTTCGCCAACGGTGAAGATGACCGGTCTCCGATTTATCGGTCAAGCCATGCGTGGCCAGCGCAGAAGGACGCTGAGGAACATGTTTTCTGGATTTACTTGACAAAACAGCGCGATATAGCTGAGACCACCTCCATCACAATCTGAGAGTTGTGTCCGTTAGCACATTCCTTGAAGTACTCCTTTCACATCAGCATCGGATCTCGACCGTGCTTCATTCCTATGATGGGTTCTAAAAGTATAAACGGCGGTGTTCACAGATACCTGAGGCGATATAACGTGTATTTAGGTGAGGGCGATTAGCGAAACACTTCAACTCTGTTACCAGACAAGATTACCGAGTGGAGCACTACGTCTGGCTGATTTCCCTCGGTCCATATCAAACAAGCCTCTCACGCGCAGCACACACAGGCAAGCGGCAACAGCAAAGCACGCAGATCCGAGACTGGTTGTGAAAATAAGTTCAACCAATGCCGCGCGAAGCAGTAAGTAACAACAGGGGGCGGGGACGGCGGCCTTCTCGGAGAACACAGCTCCGAACCTGACCTGGCCTGACCCGCCGGCCTTAACAACCGACCCCCTCAGCTCGGCAGACTGCAGCACGGCGCGCACTGAGGAACCCCGACAAGCAGCAAGACCAGACGTTTCACCCGTACAGATCGGACGCGCGCCCACGCTCGTCCACCATGTCGCGGCAGCCGCCGCCTCTGCTGGAGACAGCAGGGGTGACAGTACAACAAGAAGACACGCCTAGGCCCTCACCGTGCGGCGGCGACGGCGGCGGACGCGCAAGGCACTCAGGCACTCGTGTAACAGCCGTTTGCGCAGCAGCGGAGGCGCAGGCAGCAGAGGAACTTCAGCGAGACGCCCACCTACCGGCTGGCGTCCAAGCGATGCGAGGCAGCAGCCTTGGGTCGGCGGCGCCGCCAGGCGGCGGCGGACGGCGCGCCGTTCCCGTCAGTGGCGGGCGCGCGGCAGCGTGCCGCCGCGCCCGTTCCGCTTGGCCGGCCCGGCGGACGCCGCGACGCCGCTCCGTCGCCTCAAGATGGGCGTGGTCAGCACATGCAACAGGCTGCGCCGCGGCCTGCCGCCCGTCGGCATACACGGAAAGGAGAGAGAAAGAGACAGCCGTGAACCGACAGGCCAGGCGACGCCGGCGGCGCCAGGCGAGCGTGCGCGCTACTACAGTGCGCCGAGACGACAGGCAGCCGCTGAGACGACCGGCAGCCGCTAAGAGCGACCGGGATCTGTCGAGAGTGACCAACAGCCGCCGAGAGCGACTGGGATCTGTCGAGAGCGACCAACAGCGGCCGAGGGCGACTGGGATCTGTCGAGAGCGACCGGGATGTCGGGAGCGGCCAGCAGCCGCTGAGAGCATCCGACAACCGCGCGACGGACGGCGTCGCGCCGAGAGCGTCGCCGCCAACAGAACCGAGACACACACGACCCACCACCGGCCTTCGGCAGTCAGCAGCCACCGCCACCCAGGCGGCAAGCCAAGCACCCCACCCAAGCCACACACTCACCCACAGACGACCCATGCCTCGCCGGAGGATCACACAACACGCCGAAACCAGCCAGGACAGACCGTTACCGACTAGCACAGCCTAGGCGCTTGTGACGGAGAGCACTAGGGCGGCGGCCGACCATCGCCGCATGGCCGGCGCGCCGCCACTGGGAGGGAGAAAGCGTCGCTCCAGAGACAGCGGCGGCCCGGCACACGGCAAACGGAGCGTCCTCGGCTCAGCAGCCCGCCCCGCGCCAGCAGGCCACCCGGAGACGCAGCGACCGACGGCCACCTACGAGTCGAAGTGCTCTTCCGGCTCCAGGTCGAACCACTGGGTGGAGCCGGCCACCAGGTCCAGATCGCTCAGGTCGATGTGTTTCTGCCGGGAGCAGGACGGGTCACCGGTCGGCCGGCCGCCGCCCGGCCAGATGTGTGCGCGCTCGGCGCCACAGCCCCCCTCCCTCCTCCTCCCCATCGGGCCGGCGCGTCCACCTCCAATATACGCCGGCCACCTAGTTTCTGTGATCTAACCTGCGTCGCACGACGGCGTCAGCCGCAACACAAGTGGATTTCGCGAAGAACTTTCATCGCCGCACACGACCGTCTACATCAGTATGCATCCGGTCAGCAATGCCACCACAACTTTTTCTAGCGTTACATACAATGGCAAAGGCAATAATACCGCTTCCAGCCTTCAAACAAAACAGCATAGAACCGTCGCAAGACCGAGCCCGACAGAGATGCGGACCACCAGATCTAAGCATCCAACAACGCTGCTCGGCCGATGCTCTACTCGGGATTCCACCTGCAGCGTGGATAACAGGACAATCAAACTAGCTTAAAGATGTTGCACCTTACATGTAAATGCCCACTGCGTGACCCAATGCACAGCCCCGACCCGTGTTCAAGCACCGTAGCCGTCGGGCGCCCGCTTACCATGCCAAGGATGGGGTTGCGAGCGAAGGTCTTCTTACTGACCACCTGAACCTCCAATGTGCGCACCCGGATCTCATTCAGCTGGCCGCGATACTCCAGCGCCTCGTCGTACACCGGGTCGCGGTTGTCTTTGAAGCTCTGTAGCAGCACGTGGGGCACTCAGGCGTCGCCACCGCACTATCCAGCTCGGGCAGCTGTACTATTGGCCGTCACTGGCAACTCGCAAGAAGTGGACCCCAACGCATTCGAAAGTTACCACTCGGGATAAATGAAGGGTCAAACTCGACAAAAGGCACGATTGTCAGATTGAATGGTCCACACTGACAAAGCAGCGCTTTGAAGTGGGCCTCCAGCAATCATGCTTCCGACATGATCATTGCGAACACGTTCTGATCAGTGGCCCAAATCGCCAGCAGCAGACAGCCCTGCCCGAAGCCGGCCATCCGGACTCGTGACCGGTACAGGGACGCTGAGCCGGCCCTCCGGACTCGTGACCGGTACAGGGACGCTGGGCCGACCCTCCGGACTCGTGACCGGTACAGGGACGCTGAGCCGGTCCTCCGGACTCGTGATTGGTACGGGGACGCTGAGCCGGCCCTCCGGACTCGTGACCGGTACAGGGTCACTGAGTACAGAGTCCGGCAGACCGACCCGTCCCAGCCTGCAGCCGACGGCAGGCGGCGGCCGGCGCAGCCCTGGCGTCGCGTCCCACCGGCAACCGGCTCACCTGTGTTTTACGCTTGTTGTCCTCGGAGCGGTCAGGTAGCAGGTACGTCTTGACGTACGGATCGGGAATGTCGTCTCCCTGCATGGGCAGGCTCCTGCGGACCACCCACGGTGACATCATGGGACGAGCGTGAGTCACATCCCTAACACTTGGTGCACTCTGCTGTCACATGAGCCCAGGTCCGCTCCGCGGTCTCCTGATCGAGACCAGGTGACGCCCAGCGTGCTGATGCGCGCCGGGCCCGCAGAGGTGACCCGACTGCGCCCCTCTCGGCGGCGAGGCGCCCGGCCCGAGCTAGTCCAGGACGGCGGCGGCAGCCACTCACGATATTTTGTGGACGACGACCACCAGCGCCGAGCGGGTGTCACTGAAGCGCAGCGTCAGCTGGATCCGGCCCAGACGATGGGCGCCGGCCGGGCTGCCCACAAACCCTCTGTCAGCGCGTCACCACACACGGTGGTCCTCCAGACACACGACACGGCAGTCCTCCAGATACACCGTGCGGTGGTCCGCCAAACACACGGCACGGTGATCCGCCAGGCACACGGCACGGTGGTCCGCAAGACACACGGCACGGTGGTCAGCCACACACGCGGCAAGGTGGCCCGCCAGACACGCAGCATGAAAAGGCACTTTTCGCCCAACCGATTAATTTTTTTTAACCCATCACGTGATGCCAAACCGATCCATCATAAAACACCACCGAATACTTGCACGAGCCACACATATGCTACGTTTCGCTGGCAACCGAAGCACGGAATAGGCTGTGTTTGACGGCAGTCCCTTACTTCTCTGGCTTGCGCTGTCGGAGTCCGGACTCTGCCTGCGCCGTGTCCGCTGACAGGTCCTGGATGAGCGTCTCGACGGCCTCCCGTGTCTGCCGGTGGGGGCAGCACGGTCTGTACAGTGCGTGGCAGACGTAGCGGCCGCCCACTACAAATACCGCCCGGCCGTCTGAAGACGCCAGACTATTGCTCATTGACTGCTCGCAGTCACTGAGGTACACAGGACACATGGGAAAGCCACAGCTACTGATGCAGCCTCCAGTGCGATTGCATTCGTAGCTGAGGGTGAAACTAAGTCAAGCTCCACTGGCGGTACAGTTTTCCCGCCTGTTGCACACTTCGGCAGGGCTGTGAGCTGACACGCCGCGCCTCTCAGCGTAGCACGGCATTACAAGGGCTGGCGCATCCCACTTGCAGCGAGTCAGGAGGCGTCGGCATTGGTCGCCATGCAGCCAGTCCTTCCCTACAGGCACAGCTCGCTCCCGCCGTCACGCTGGGTCGACGGTGCACCGTCCTGCACCACCGGCGCGGCGCACAAACCGGGCTCACCTGCGCCGGCACCGGCTCCGGCCTCGACTCCTTGCGGGCGGCGGGCGCTGGCCGGACCGGGCTGGGCGGACGCACCGGCTCGTCCGCCTTGGGCTGCGGTGGAGATGCCGGCGGCGGAGAGGGCGGCGGCGGGGAGGCCGGCGGCGGGGAGGCCGGCGGCGGGGAGGCCGGCTGAGTTGGCGGCCGTCGCAGCCGGCTTCTCCCCTGGTGCCGCCGGCGGGCTCGGCTCAGTCGTGGCCTCCGCTGTGGGTGGCGCGACGGCCGGTCAGCTAGGTCGCCGGGAGCGCGGCGGGGGAGCAGGAGGGGGAGCAGCCGTCGGCGCGGCGTCCCAGTTCACACCGCCGACCGACCAGCACCGGTGCCAGCGGAGCTCTGGCCGGCAGGGCTCGGATGGTACACACCAGGACAACAGACAGGGACGGACGGCAGGTGGTTGACGACGGCTGGCGTGTCCCGGTGCGCCGACGCCGGCGGTCAGTTCGAGCCGGCCTCGGGAGGACGGGAGGCGCGGCACACCGACCGGGTACTCACGGCTCGGTTCGGCGGCGAGGGCCACGCGCAACCTCGACGGCGGGCGGGGCGGAAGGCGGCGGCACGCGGACCGGGTACTCACGGCTCGGTTCGGCGGCGAGGGCCACGCGCAACCTCGACGGCGGGCGGGACGGAAGGCGGCGGCCAGGTCAGGACAGGGTGCACGGGCGGTCGGTGTGTCGAGGTCGGAGGTGGACTACGGTGCTAGTTCTTCTTTCGTCGCCTCACATCTGACCGTCACAGCGAGCGCAATGACTCATGGAGCGCAGACATCCGCGCATGCGGTCACAGGTACACCAGGCGCGCGCGAGACACCGACACCTCGGCTCACGCTGGCGTCTCAGCACTGAATTAAGCGTCAACGTCATACACTTGTCCTCCTGCGGGCCAATTACCGCCACTGCGCCCAGCCGCCGTGGCCTGGCTTCAGCACGCACCACTTCCGCGTGAAGCCAGAGACTGGCGGGCTGGCGGTGCGGCCCCGAGAGCCGCAGCAGTAGCCGCGGCCCGCCCCGGCCGGCGCCGCGCTGCCAGGCGGCACCGACGCGCGCCCCGCCCGGTCGGAGGCGGCAGCGGCCCGCAGCACTCACTCGGCTTTGAGGGCTGTCGGGGCGGCTCGGGCGCCACCGGCCGCTGCGGCATGGCAGAAGGAATGCGGGCCTCGTCGTCCTGGGCCGCCACCCTTGTCGTGCGTCAGAACCTGATGCGGACGCGCACTGTGAGCGGCACGGGTCGGCGCCGCCGTCCACACTCACAGCAAGGACCATCAAGGGCGCCGGCGAGGCTGTCACAAGCCTAATCTCGATGCAATTGCGCACAATGTGTGGGAAAGCCGAAAAAGCAGCCGCACTTACAAAATGGCGCTGATACCAAACAACGGAAAAGGGAAGGCACAGGTGTGGCAACGGTGAAATGGCCGGGACAGGGAATCAGCCACGTAAAGACAGGGCTGTGAGGCCCGGCCGGTGCTCGGACTCCTACCGTGGCCGGGACAGGGAAGCAGCCACGTAAAGACAGGGCTGTGAGGCCCGGCCGGTGCTCGGTGCTCCCCACCGAGGCCAGCCTCACTCACCCGCAGCTGAATGGAGAGCACGACCATGGAGTGCCGGCCCGACTCGTGCAGCTTGTAGGGGTGCTCGCTGACCTCCAGCTCCGGCTGGCGGAGCAGGTCCTTAACCTCCAGCTGCAGCATGCCCAGCGACTTGCCCGAGCTCTGGTCCTCCACCTGGCGACGGCAAGAGCCGGAATACACGTCGGGATGATCGCTACAGCTCTGCCGCCAGGCTTCGCCGGCCGCCGGCGACACAAGCGCCCGCTCTGATCAAGGCCCACGGGACGCCCCAACACGCTTAAACGCCACGGTACGAGCATGGACGTTATCACCGAGCATTACTGTCCTTGAATGAGTGTAACGGCTCACTCTCACATCAAAATTTGATGTGATTTGATGTGATAGCAAGGATTCTTCCTACCTATGCTTTTCATTTAATAAAAAGCCCAAGAAGGAAGGATCCTTTCCGCGCCAGCCAGCGGTGGTGGGCGTTTGGCAGGCGCTCGCTCTGGTTGCCGGACATAGTGCCCACCTCCAGCGTCATGGTCTGCGTCAGCGGGTTCTTGACGAGGAAGCTGAAGCCCTCCTCCCAGACAGGGTCCAGGGTGCGGTACTTGCACGAAGTCACCCTCCTTCTGGTTGCCCACCGCCAGCCGCACCAGCGGATTGGGCTCCACCGTCCGCGACGCCATCTGCCGGCGACAGCCGACCTTATGTAGGGCGACACGGCGCCAGTCCAATCATCTGGTTAATAAAAACTCATGGTAGTGTATAATAAAAGATAGTCCCTAGCGAAGCACTTTAATGAATGATTTAATTCCCTGCACAACACTGCTTGAAATTTAAAAAACCGGACTGACGACGGATAAGCGTGCTGATAAAACAAACCACCGACCGACCCGTAACGACCGACGTAACAGACAAAATAAAATGGAAGAACAGCATGCACACAAAAAGCAAAAACAAAAATACAGTAGCCGAAAATGAGATTCACTTTTCATTCCATGTGGTGAGACGTTACGTAACATTTTGAACGGTATTTACACGGTCAGGCTTAACAGAGGCGAGTGGCGAGCACCGCGGGACGCTATCATACGGGTCACGTCACGGCCGTTACCGGAAGCTGTTTTGCCGAGTCGACGAACACGGTCAGCACGGCCGAGTGCAGGCCCGAGTGGTCGAACGCCGACAGGTCCTCGATTTCATTCAGTTGCTGAAACAGTGGCCGGCGTGTCGCGTCACGCCACCGGTCGAGCAGGGTGGGGTTCAGGCGGAGTCAAGGTCAGCGCTGCAGACTCGCCATCCCCTGCAGCACACCGCGCCGGGCACGACAAAGGCGCGTGCCTAATAAAAAAGCAAGACACAACATTGAAGAAAATACAGACGATATGAAACATGCCGCCACCAGCCAACTGGGCACACTCCCAGCTCCAGCTGAACTGAGATCGGCCGTGACCGAGAGCGCCGCGTCTGCCGCCCGCTGGTCGGCATATGCCGCCACCAGCCAATTGGACACACTCCCAGCTCCGGCCGAACTGAGACCGGCCGTGACCGAGAGCGCCGCGTCTGCCGTCCGCTGGCCGGCGTCATCACCTTCTTGATGTCGGCCGCGTTAGTGGAGAGACCCAGCCAGTCCAGCTTCATGTGGATCCGGCCGGTGCGCGCCTGCTCCAGCGGCACCACTGAAATAACGGCCAACGTCTCCTCAGCCTAAAAAATGGCCATCTGAGCATGAGCACTGACGCCGCGATGGCAGCTGTCGCATGGCGTGACCGACGACGAGCGGTGCACCGGCAGCGACTGAACGAGACTGAACGAGACATCCATCCCAGAGTCGCACGTTTCACCACGCGGCCGGGGCTAACAGCATTCAACCGCCCGGCTGGCAGGCTGCGGCCCGGTCCGCGGAGCCCGGCGCACTCACCACGTCCTGCGATCCGGCCTTGGCGATGTCGGCCACGTCCAGACCGCACCTGGCGGCGCCGACAGCCCCACGTTACACGCGCGCGGCAGCCGGACGGACGGGACAGCACCGCAACTCCGATTCGACAACGTTGCGCAAGGAGCCCGGGAACGTTTGAAGTGTACAGCAAAATGATGTGCTCAGGCAACGGCGAAAACGGCGCTATATTCATTGTCATGTCTTAACAGTTAATGCTCAGCATCCACCGTTCGGCATGTTCCTGGACGGAAAACGAAGCATAACATCGCCAAGAGGTTTTAGGACAGCAAGATATCAAGCACGCTGGCTTTACAACTGCAGCAAAAATCGACCTCATGGAAACACAGCAGAAATCAACTTGTTAGCGCGCATGCAGTGAAGATGAGGTGCGACTCAGTTTAGTGTGCATGCATGTTTAGAGCGGCAGTGAGCTAAGCATACCCGCGGCGGCTGCACGGGTCACCAGCGTCATACTCCAGCGGATCACAAGGGAAGCTCCGACAGAGACCAGCGTTAACGCGTGGACCAGGTCCAGAGGGATAGCAGCCTATGCGCTGATGATTGGCTCTGGACGGGTCCAGGAGGGGTGGCAGCCGACACGCCGGTTGGCTATGGGCGGGTCCAGGAGCGTATCAGCCGAGGCGCTGGTTGGCTATGGGTGGGTCGAGGAGCGGCAGCAGCCGAGGCGCTGGTTGGCTATGGGTGGGTCCAGGAGCGGCAGCAGCCGGGGCACTGGCTGGCTATGGGCGGGTCCAGGAGCGGCAGCAGCCGAGGCGCTGGTTGGCTATGGGTGGGTCCAGGAGCGGCAGCAGCCGAGGCGCTGGTTGGCTATGGGTGGGTCCAGGAGCGGCAGCAGCCGGGGCACTGGCTGGCTATGGGCGGGTCCAGGAGCGGCAGCAGCCGAGGCGCTGGTTGGCTATGGGTGGGTCCAGGAGCGGCAGCAGCCGGGACACTGGCTGGCTATGGGCGGGTCCAGGAGCGGCAGAAGCCGAGGCGCTGGTTGGCTATGGGCGGGTCCAGGGGCGGCGGCAGCCGGGGCGGCGTACCGTCCGAGCAGCTCGTCAGTCCGCCCACGGTCGTAGTCGTACAGTATCATCTCTAAGCGGTAATGAGCCTCGCACATGCCCTGGGAGGAGGAAAGGATCAGGGGTCGAGGTCATGGGACGGGGAAAGGTCGATGTCTTCCAGGAAAAGGGATCAGAGTGCAAGGGTGAGGTGCCAGGACAACGACTGGAACGCACACGGCGCACAATGTAATGCACAAACGTAGATAGCTAAATCCCGTCAACAAATAATGAGAAATTCAACACACCAAATCTCGAAGGACGCTTTCAAGCCCAACAAAATCTCTGGGCACCACAGAAACCATAGCGAACGCCGACTTCGAGCATCAAAACGTCAAACGCAAAGCCAAACAAACTCCTGTCAAACAAGTCCACAAAACATCGAACACCACCAGTTTCAGCTGATGCAAAAACAAAAGCAAAATAACCAGACGCACGACAGGGCGCCACCATCTGCCAGTGAGCAGCAAAGAGCAGCTCGCCCGACCAGCCGTCGCGTGGGCGGCCGGGACGGCCCGGCGGGGACGGGGCGGGCGCCGGGGCGGCCGACCCGGGTCAGGCGGGCCACCGCCCGGCCAGGCCTGATCCAGCGCCGACCTCGTAATGGTAGAAGCTCCGTGCACGGTGTGCCGAGCTCGTGATGCCCCTGTCTGCCGAGCCCACTCCCCACACCCACCGCCGGCCGGCCGAGCCCGCTCCGCACACCCATCGCCGGCCGGCCGACCCCGCTTTGTACACGCACGGCCGGTCGACCGACCCCGCTTTTTACACGCACGGCCGGTCGACCGACCTTGCCCCTAGGTCCAGCCGGTGCACCCCGTGCCGTCCCCGAGCGAGGCCGCCGGCACCCGCTGCCGCGCCGGCCCGCCGCGCATGCGCCGGGCGGCCGGCGCCGGCCCGCCGCCTGACCTGCCCAGGAAATCGTCCTTGGCCAGACTGCTGGCGTCCCAGTCCCAAAGATCGAGCCGCAGCTGGATGCCATCGAACTCGAGCAAGTGCGTCTGTCAGGCAAGACTGCAGCGTCAGACCAGATACGGTCGCCGCCACTGTCGGCTAGGCGGCACGACGAAACAGTGCAGCGGCTGAGCGGGCCCCACACCTGCTGCTGCGGACAGGACGGAGTCACGGCGGCCGAGCGCGCGCCGCTCCAGTTCGTCGACACTGCACCAGGAGACCGGTGACGCACGGAACCCAGCGGCGACGGGTCAGCCACCCACACCCACACGCAGCACAGCCACAAGCAAACGCACACGACGCTGGCCCACATACGGTCAACCCGCCGCGCGCCCAAACCGCTGCCTGCTTCGAAGCGCGAACATGTAACGGATGAAAATATAAAGATCATGATCAGGACCCGCCTCGCGCACGCACACGCGCACGTGCACGCACACGAGTCACGGCCCAGTGGATATTTGTTATGTACACCGCACACATGTATGACTGAAGCGAAACCGGAGAACAGTTCATCGAGCCCAGAGGGTCCGACACGCAACGATTGAGGGCCACCCAACGACAATCCCAGTGTCACCTGAGATATCCCCGCGCTAGGCAAAAAGCCATCGATCAGACATAGTTGCGGGCACCAACGAAGCCGTCCTCAGATAAGATGGACGGCGTGCCTGCAGGCTGCCGGCCAGCTTGTGATACCGCACCATCTACGAACGTGAGCACGCATCGAGAGCTCACGTTTGGAGCGCATGCAGCACGATAGCCTTTCAATATAGGCATCGCAGAACGTAAGCAACTTAGAGCGACGATGATGGGACCCAAACTTAAGCATGCCACCCCAAACCACGCAGGCAGCCATGGGGATCCTCCCCCTCCCTCCCGTCGAGCCAAGCGGTGTACACTAGATGTTGGGAGATTGCGTAGGCATATGGTTCATTTTCGCGTGAGTTCGGGCACAATTTGATATTTTCTCGCGCGCTCTGACTAGTGCCTGTTGCAATGCCACCAACTATGGATAGTTCATGCCAGTAGAGAAACACCAGCAGCAGTGCGCGAGGACACCGAGTAATCTCAATATCATGTCGGCCAGGTCATCCGGGGTAAACCTGCCTACGCCCACAACTTAAATAAAGTTGTTTGATTGATTCCGCCGTATATCGCCCAACAATACTCGCAACTCTCATCCACTGCAGCCCAATGCTGACTCGTTCCACCTCTGAGAAGACGAGGACTGTGACTGCTTGAGTCATCAACCGGTGGTGATAAAAACGGCCGTGGCTCCTGTCGACTTACGATCCCAAATCAAATCTCCGTTCAGGAGGCTCCCGTCGGCAAATGCTAAAGCAATACAAAGCAAATTACGTCGACACGCCCCAAAGTCGGCAACAAAACATCGGAACCCAGCGACATCATGCCACGCCATTGCATTCTCACCAGCCAATCGTCGTCACAGGCAGACACGGCGAAGCGCAGCACAGTTACAACTCTCTCCCAGATGCACGTCACGGTTCCCCGAAACAAAACATTCCACGTCGAGCTGAACAGGCACACCCAGTCGCCCCGTACGTCCGACAGAGGCGGAACCCGGACCAGCCAGGCCGGAGCCACGCGACGAGAGACCAGACCCGCCTGGCGGCTGGGCCGCGTTACCTGCCCAACGCATCATCATCAGCCGGGCCACGGTCGTAGTCGGACAGTGTCAGCTCCAGCCGCGTGCCCGTCGGGTGCTCCAGCACGGTCTGGGTGCGCGGTAGAGCGCTCAGGCGGGGCGGGGCAGAGTGGGCGGGACAGGGCAGGGCAAGGTAGGGCAGGGCAGGGGGCGGGGCGGGGCGGGGCGGGGCGGGGCGGGGCGGGGCGGGGCGGGGCTTGGGGCGGGGGCTGGGCGGGCGGGGCGGGCGGGACAAGCGCAGCCCGCCATTGGCAGAGCGAGGTAGTGTCAAGTAGGCCCGCCGCGGCCGTGGCGGCCGACTGGACCGCCAGGCCCTACCGGCTCCGCTTTATACCTCAGCCCTGAGCGCTACCGGCCTACGGCCGTCGCAGCCAGGCTTGAGGCTAGCTGGATGTTATGGGGGCGGAAATTGGACCGCAGCAAGGTGGCAGCGTCGCCTGATTCACCGATTAGCCGCAGAGGGGGGCAAATCGAGAGCCGAGAGAGACAGATCGAGAGAAGACTGCAGAAGCTCCGGGGCATAGCGTGAGAGACAAAGTCAGAGGGCGGGAGGGGGGGAGGCCGCGCCGCGCCGTCATCCGCGGCGCAGTGGGGTCACGTTCGTGCACCAGCTGCTGATGGCCGCGCTCACCTGCCCAGGTTATCATCTTTGTTGCCCGGGTCGTCCGAGTCGCACAGCTCCACCCAGAGGCGCGGGCCCACCGACTCGATCAAGTCAAACTGGGCCGAGCAGAGCGCGTTAAAGAGAGTGGGAGGGCGCGGACGCGTGTACCGGTGCACGCTGTCACACACGCCGTCACAGGAGACGTGACGCCGACACACAGACCGTCTCACACACAGCGGGCGCCAGGCTGACACTGACCGCACATCATCGCACCGCCGCCAACAGCCGGCTGAGGAGGGCGGGCGGGGGGCCAGGCGCCCTCGCACCTGGCGAGTCGTGATCAGCTGACAGGGTACAGCGAGGCGAATGGGAGGCCACACGGAATAAAGGTGACCGCAGTCATGTTGCGCACACTTAACTCCCGGTAAGTTTCACAATATCGCCAACGTTTCCGCACGTCCAAAACGTCACCAGTCTTGCTGCATGCCTCTTAACCAACTTCCTGTGTTGACCGGCATCAGCCATACGCTTTACAAGCAGGCGCTGGTACTTCAGCAGCGTCAAGCGGCAGAATCGCCGCCGCACCTGTGCCGGCCGCCATTTGGCGCTGATCATTTCAATGCCAAAAGGCTGCTGGATCAATTGCCTCAGTATTAAATACGCGTCCCTCTCAACTTCATCTAAAAATCTAGACGTGTATTATGAATTGCCTGTAAGATCCGTGAAAAAGAACGTCTATGACCCCACCACTTCTATCTCTTCCTAATGTTGATATGTTGGGACGCCTCGCATGGATCTAATCTTTCTGTTGGCACCAACGCTCAGTTGGGACAGAAACGGAAAAATCACGCTCCCCATGAAACTGCCGCCGAAAAACAGTGGTCTAGGATTCCGTTCAGAGTTTGGGGTGCGTAAGCTGGTTTGGTCTTTCCATGCAATTCCCTGGGAAAATGCCGGCCTCGCCCCATCCTTTCCGCCGGACGCACGTCTGAAAAGAAGCGTCATACCCAGCAAAACAGAAAACCAGTGAACACAGCACTACTGGGCCCCTCCGTGTGCAACCCTGCCCAGCGCCTGAATCCGCATACTGCGGTTTTTCCGTCTCCCGCCCCCGCCCCCTTCGCCTGCCCACCGCCGGCCGAGCCCCAGACCGGCCCGGCGCCCATCGCCGGCCGTCTGGCAACTAACAGCCGTGACGACAGCGGAGCGTGGGCGGCGGTCCCCCGCCGGCGCGGAAGGGACGGCTGCGGCAGCGGCAGCGGCCCGGCCCGACTCAGCGGAGCCAGCTCACCTCACACACGTAGTTCCAGACGGGGTCAACAGTGTCCTGGATGTACTTGGTTTTGAACTGCTTGGCGCCGATGTAGATGATGGCGTACGGGTCCGACTTGCCCTGGCCGAAGATGTTGCGGTCCTTCTTCATCAGGTCACGGCCCTCGATCAGGCGCAGGCGCAGCACGCCCTGGGGTCAAGGCCACGGTGCCGGTCACCACCACAGGCGGTCGCGGTCGTTGTCAAGGCAGCCGCGGTGAGCGGCGTCGCAGGCACAAGTTCAAGGCTGCGGTCACGAGCCCCAGACGGCGGACGCGCACCACCTCAAGGGCAAAGCCGCAGGCGGCGCTGCCGCCTCAACACCCCATAACGTAAAAAGTGAATGAAGCGGAATGACTCAGGAAATATTATTATCAGCGTTAAATGCACCTTTACTTAAGACACCGTTGCTTAAAATGTTGACGCAATCATTTGCGTCATACTTCGGTGATGATCACGTCGAAGTCAATCACACACTGGGTTTATTCTCACAACTATAAAGCCGGTTATCTGTATCCATACAGCGTACTACGCGCTGTGTTTCCACCAAGGGTTCGTCTCGATGAGAAAGACCGCCGAGCGGCCAATACGCCGAGCTCTAGTATTTGTATACAAGAACGTCATATGTTTACCGATCTATTAGTCCACAGACTAGGATATCGAAAGGTCTATGACTAGTCGTATATCGCAATATTGATACTGATAAAGATATAGTCGTGTACTGGCAAGCGCAACCGAGCGTCTGGTCCTTCCAGCACCGACAGCTACGCATTGCCTGTGCAGTGCCCACATGTCCCAGCAATCTCTGGCGCTCTGCCATGTGCGACTCACAGTCCGACACACGCGGCCAGACGAGGCCCTGTCGCCGCCGCCGCGTGGGCGGCAGCGCACGGCCGGGCCAGGACCCACGCCGAGACCAGTGGGGCAGCGGAGGGCACGTCCAGCGGCCGCCGACTCGCCACGGCACCTCCAACCCCGCCGGGTGGCCTGTTTCACTAGCCAGAGATAGCCGGCTCCGTATCGCTGACCTCGGTGTTATGGTGATGATGTGGGATTTTGACACCATAGGTCATTTTGCGCCCATGGCGGCTGTTTACGGCTGTGTTTTGTTTTAATTAGCACGAAGCAAGTACAGCTAAAAACTTGACGCCTCCCAGGAAAAGAAACAATTGGTTTGAGGTAACACTGTGAGTCGTGTCCTAGCATATCGCAATGAGTCAAACATGACATACATGGCTTGCCACCTAAAAGGACGCCGGCGCTCTTCCCTGAAAAGTGAACAGGAGTAAAGCAGATGATTAACTGTCCACAGTGCATCGCAATTAGGGCATTGAGGCCTCCCGCCACCAAACAACAGGTACCCATGTGTCGCGTACGTATAGACAATTTGCAGACGGCACGGGGGACCTCTTCACACCTGGCAGCTCGCCAGCCAGACGGCCCTAGAAGGCCCAACAGTGGCTGTATCACCCTTAGCTTGTCGCTCCTTTCGTTGTCCCACCAGCGTTGCCATTTCTTCTTAAACAAGCTGTGATGGCTGGGTAGAAGTTCCCAGCTGGGAGCGGAAGAGAACACGTGCGAGGCGCATGAGTGGCCCGCTTTGCGGGCAGCGAAGGTAAGATCGTTGCCCGCTATCCTTACATGGCTTGGAATCCAGCATCGCGCTACGGTTTTGCCCATGCCCATCAACCATGTCAAGCGGGTCAAAGTGTCCTACAAAAAGGGACACTGAGGGTAAAATGTCTTGAGCGTCATGAGGCTGTTGAGGGGGTCAGGCCAGATCAAGTGTCGGTCGTCATTCGCGACTTCAATATGGCAGTGTTTTAATGATGGCAACAACCTCTGTAGTATACAAAGAGGCGTGTTCTGGCAGCGAGAATGAACGAGCGGCAAGGCCAAACACGAACGCCGAGCCAACACCTGATGCGGCTTTGGATCCGTCTGCAAAGGTCGCTACACATCCTTGATGTGACGAGATAAGCTCCAATCCCCTAACCCTAGTGTCACACGTAATGGGTTCTCGTTTTTAACCTACGCTAATGAAAACCGCACTTGGTGCACATATTTCCCAAGGAGGTGTTATCAAGTGACCAGATCTGAGCACTCCCTTCCATCTGAGCCCATTCTCTCCGAATAGCTCTTCGACCTGAAAAGCAAATGCCACAACACGTGTTCTCCGTTCTTTCTAACAGGTCGCGTCACACGTCGTGAAAAGACTGTCGGGTGGTGAGGTGTTTTGGGAGCTGCGCCAACTTGCAAGCATACCTCACCTCAAGCATTTCCCTCCGAAATGAGAGCGGGGTTCACTTGCCTCTACCAGTAGGCTTGCAACTGAACACGTTCTGAACGCACCGGTTGCCTTGCGCAGTGCTGTGTGCCATGTGGTGTTTAGTTTGAAGGAGGTGGGCGCACGGTTATGTATATCACATCCGTAGTTAACTTTAGATCTGATCAGTGAGCGGTACAACAATTAAAATGTTTTCCGATCTGTTCCGTAAGAGCTTGTGCCACGCATTTCAATGTGTTCAGTGTCTTAAAACACCCGTGATGCAGAATGATGGGATGTTCCTTGCAGGTCAAATGCTTATCAAAATGTGACCCCAGAAACCGTGTCACCGCATTGCAAGGGATCGGCTGTCCATAAAGCTTAAGCGCCATGTCGGGACAATGACGCCGGCGTCGACAAAAGTGGATGGAAATGATCTTCGAGGTCGAAAACCGTAAACCGTTAAGCATGCTCCACGTATCTAAGCCAGTCACAGCCAACTGTAACTGGCGCGGCATGGACGCTGCCATGGCGGAGTTGCAACGGATGGCGAGACCATCAACGAAAAGCGAGTGACCAATCGCCTGGGGTAGGTTGCCCCGACATCATTCATTATGACGCAAACAGCGCAATACTTAACACACTGCCCTGGGGCACGCCGTTCCTTTGGGTGTATCTGTTCGAGTGCATGGAACCAACACAGACTCTGAAGTAGCGGTCAGCAAGAAAGTTCGCAACAAAGGTACCCGTATCTCCGCGTATACCATGCTGGAACAGCTTCCGTAAGATGCCATATCGCCAGGTTGTGTCATAAACCTCTTTGATGTAAGTAATCCACACAGTAGAGCCCAAGCCTAAAAGATGAGCAACCGTGTTACGGTTTTTCCTGAAACCACAATGGGCGTTTGTAAGCACATCGTTTCTTTCAACAACAAAAAGTTACTTGTGCCCGAACCATCCGCTCTAGAGGCTTGCACATGGAGGAGGTAAGCGCCGCTGGACGGCGGCCCCACGGATCCGTCTCTTTCTTACCAGGCTTCAGCAGTGAAACTATTAGCGACTTCCGCCAAGACGTCGGGAAATCTGTGCTTTCCCACAACTGGTTAAATGTCACCAACATAGCTTGGGCTCAAAGCCACATTCTAAGACCAGACACAGTTTAAAAGAACTGGGCTGCGCCTGTTGCAGGACCGAACACCTCGGTCAGAGAGTAACGGCCCCACTCCACAGGGCGGTGCAACCTCAGTGTAAAGCCTTTTATGCCATGCATTTTTATAACTGCTGAGACGGGGTTTTTTTAAATTTAACAGGTGATCAGAACAACCCCTGGCGCGTTTTCCATTTTTCTCCTTTTTTATTCGAGCTCACTGGACCGCAAGTGATCATCTGATCGGGATTATTGCTGCATGGCAGCTGACACTTACGTGGTTAAGGGGATAGTGAGCAGGCAGAGCAATGGCACGGCTATCCTAGCTATTACGGCTACCCAGCCTCCCTAGCACGGGGACCCTTGGCCGTTGCCGGTGTGGGGGTGCTCTGGCGGGACTCCCGCTAGAGAGGTCGTGGGACAGACTCACGCCGGCAGCCGCGGCCCGCTCCCCACGAGTTTACAGATTTTATGGTGAGGCACTGGTGCGAAAAAGGGCGCATGGTGGTCTCGGTCCGAGCCTGCCTTCGCACGACAAATGTACACCGGTATGCAATCTTTCTTCGCGTCGTGAAAGTAAAGCGGCCAGAACGGGGAGCACTTCACTTCGACCGTCCACTCACAACCGGTTCACGATTACAGTGCGCCGGTGAAAATTCGTGGTTTGTGGGAACTATTCTCCTACGCCGACATTTAGGAAAGCACAAGTTCCCATTACTATTTTACAGGGATACATTCGCATTGGCTTATCTCATCTTAGAGATTTGCATATCTTGTGCAGCGGTTGGGTCTGGCCCACGCTCCAGCCCCGCCCGCATCCACCGCCGAGCCGGTGCGGCCCTCAGTCGGACCACTCAGGTCTGCGCCGCCGCGCCGCCAACAAGAGTCTCGTTGCGACACAAGCCCGAGCGTCACCAAAGCATCCATCCTGGACAAATTTAACGTCATGCATAGAGGTCAACGAAGAAAACCCTTTCCCGACGTCTGGCACTAAAACGACTTGCTTCAAAACAGCGGGCAGCGCCTGTTACGTTTCGATTTTCAAATGACATGTCTTCGTGCCAATACTTGACTGTCCCCAAAACGACAGTCACAAGAGTTTCCTGGACAAAAATCGTTCGTTGTCCTGTTCATTGGTGACGCTTTTAAATAATGCAGGCGTGCGTTGTATATAAGTTAAAATGACATCCCGACCACAGTTTTCCTTACAGTTGAGACCATTCGCAACTTTTCCGTCCAAAGGATATATATATATATATATATATATATATATATATATATATATACTCCGACCATTGGTATGCATGCCTTCCGACACACATAAAATGTCACACAAAGCTGGCCTCGGGTACCCGCGATATGCACTGCAGAGGAATGATTCAATGTGCGCGTGATTTACATCGACCATCAATGAGTCACGCTCCAGACCTATCAAAATACAAGTGATCAGACGGCGTTCGGTACACACAGGTATGCTATGTGTTCGTCCGACAGCGCCGGAAGTACCGAAGTTTTTCAGAAAGGTTTTGCCATGTTGTAGTTTGCTCTACCATTCCTATTGGCGAGCAACTAATTTATTTTCTCCCAAGCATGTTGGTTTTGAATACGTCAGTAAAGTAGTCAGTCATAATTAACCTCAGGACCTAAGCGTTAAGGCCTGAGCAAAGTTTGTTTGTGTGAGCGTCCTTTCGAAGACCACAAGTAAGCTATCTCGGTCCCAACCACAAACAAGTGACATATTCCCTTTCCGTATCCCAGTTCCCACGTGGCGTGTTTTCTCCTCCGGGGTCGTCGTTACGGGTGTGGCCAGCCTGTCATACGACACGAGCCATGTGTTAGACCCGGCTCCAGCTGGTCATCAGCCCGCGGTACTTTACGAAACGGCAGAGTTTGGTGGACAGCAACGTGCCGCCTGCACCTGCCCGTTTGGGTGGAATGTCCCGCATGCCCTCTCTGAAAAAACTCACAGCCATGAAACGCTGTTCGCAGCGAGTCCACGTTGCCCAAACGCGAATAAACTGTGTCTTCAGTGCAGGGGTGACGGGCGCCACAAGGCCGGGGAGGGGAGCCTTCCAATGTCTGTCATTCAGCGCTTCGCTAGGGAGCGTGAAACCCTGAGTGAGCTCACAACGCACGTTCCATCTGCGACGCTACATGAGCCAAACAGACCCGCCATGCTCAGCTTCACCTGCGGCGCTGCGTGGCCCGAACAGACCTGCCATGCGCAGCTTCACCTGCGGCGCACCATGGGCCGGACAGACCCGCCATGCTCAGCTTCAACCGCGGCGCTGAGTGGGCCGAAGACCCGCCACGCTCAGCTTCAACCGCGGCGCTGCGTGGGCCGAACAGACCCGCCATGCTCTGTTCCTGGCGCCTCCAACCGCCGGCCGGCGGTGCCGCCCCTGACTCGACCACCGCTGATCGATCGCCGACTCACCAGGACACGCCAAACGCAGCGAACAAACTCAGCGTTCGGCGGGTAAGCCGCGCCGGCAGCGAGCAAGTGCTGGCGTTCCACGTGCCCGGCCGCGCCCAGCTGCACCCACCTTGGGCTGGGAGGCCGTCACCATCTTGGTGGGCACCTCGCTGGAGAGGACGATGGGCCACTTGTTCGGCAACACCATCATGGCGGCGATGGTGTCGACGATGACGTTTCGCAGAATGCCGCTGTGGGAGGTCGTCACCGCATTCAGAGCGCCGCCAGGGAAGAACACGACCGGGATGTGCAGCGTGGGAACACGAAACGGGGCACCCAGATGACAATACGTAGGTCACTTATACTACAATGTGGCAATGAATCACAACCCAAGGGAAGCTCTGATAGACTGGGCCACTCATGGCGTGGTTGGGGGTAATGCCGTACTCGGGTCATGACGCAAGATATTCGTGGATCCAGCGCGCCACACGCCGAGACGACGCTGTCGCCCAGGTGAGTTCAGTGACCTGCTCCAGGGTGCTCATCACGCGGCTCCACCATCACTCCGAGGCGAGCGAGAGCGAAAGAGAGCGAGGAAGAGCGAGAGGAAGCGAGGGAGAACGAGAACGAGAGCAAGAGTCATGCCACTCCGTCTGTCGGGCACAGTATGCGGGTCTGCATCATGACCACTGACAGCGGGGCAGGACGTGGAGGGGAGAAGGCTTTTGTGTCGTGACGCGGCCATGACAAACGGGGCGATTCACAGCCGACCGAGGGCAAGCAGCGCGCACGGACAGCGACGTGCCATCGCGTGGGAGTGCTGCGTCCCACCGGCGCCGAGCCCAGCATTCCGGTGTCGGCGCACCCCACGCTATGCCACGGGCAACTGACATAGAAACGGTGCTTCTTTACAACGTGAGAGGATATGAGAAGTGACTACCGCGGTGTAGTTGCAAGCTGGGCACCCCCACATGGAGGTATGATGTGGTCTTTGCTCACAAACAGACATCAGAAGCGCATGCGCAGTCTGGCGAAGGCGCGCGCACGTCAGCGCACGCACGCACGCACGCGTGCGCACACGCACACGCACACACCCGCACCCACACCCACACCCACACCCACGCCCATACCCACACAGCAGAGCAACGACCGGTGGGCCGCGCCCCCGGCACAGTTCGCTGACCTCGGGCGGGACACGAGGCAGCGCGGATCAGTCCGGCTCCACGGCCGCCCTGCACGCCGCTCACTGACCTGAGGCCGGGCATATCCAGCACGTCCGCCACGCCCAGCATGTTGAACTCGATGTCCGGGTTGTTGAGGAAGAATACCTGCATGCCGCCAATGATGGGGATGGTGCTGATGAGCGGTTTGTAGACGATCCGCATCACACCGTGCAGCTGGCGGGGAGAGGAAGTTCGCCCCAGTCCAGAGGAAACATCGAGGATCGCAGATCCACAACCGGCCTCCTCACCGCAATGTCGTAAGTTCGAGTCCCGCTACCGGCTGTTTTTCATTCAATAACTCAGCTGACAGAACGCACCGTTCCTAACACGACTTGCAAGCGTGGCGCAACAGATGGGACACGATACGAAGGTGTCGGTGGTATCCCAGCGGCACAGCTGGTGAAAACGCGTGCAGCTGTGCGGGCGCCGTTCGCAACTGCCCGCCACTGCTCGCAACTACTCACAATGGAGACACGACTGAATAGCGAGGAACCATAGCGACATCTGACACCGTAAAGGAGGGCTACTAGCATCAAAGATCAACGACAAGAATGATCTCATCAGGTATCCTATCCCCTTCCTGTCATCTAACCGTGCTCCAGCGTCTTCTAAGCCTGCGTACAATCCGCAATGACCTCACACGTCTACACAATCAACAGGATCGGACGATAGTTGCCGACCGCGAAAGACACCCCCTGCCTCTTGGACCGGATCCACCGCCCCGAACCTCGACGTTGGCGCAGACCTGCTGCTGCCCCCGCCCGCTCACCTGGAAGTCCTTGATCCCAGCTGACATTCTGCTGAAGCTGCACTCGATGCGGGAGTCGCCGGCGTAGAAGATCTCGACGTCCATGATGATCTCGGAGCGCTGCACGTTGTCCGAATAAACCTTGACGCCGCCCACCCGCGGAGCCTGCCCCGCAGGAGCCGGTCTCAGGTCAAGCACCGGTCACGGCCAGCGGGCTGGGAAGCTACAGACAAACGAGGCGTTTCCCTAACACCGGAACGACACGCTTGCGGTGAAAAATAGACCTGGACGGGCGATCAGGCGCGCAAGGCTAATGCAGTCGTGTCACGCGTCGGCACTGAAAAACCACTGCCGTGTTTTAGATCCCATCATGTCTTTCGACGGGTGAGAAATTTGTGTAGCCACACCCTCAAAGGAATAACAGGAATATATATATATATATATATATATATATATATATATATATGCATGCGTGTGCGTGCGTGCGTGCGTGCGTGCGTGCGTGCGTGCGTGCGTGCGTGCGTGCGTGCGTGCGTGCGTGCGTATGTGTGTGTGTTTGTGTGTGTGTGTCTATATATGGGCCATGGCGACGCACTTAGAATTATCTTATCCAGCAGTGGCCACAATTAACCAACGCTTGTAATCGTGATACATCCGTGATTGCACCTTGATGTCCAGTTTGCAATGGAGACTGTCCGATCCAACGTCACTCTCGGCGTTTCAACATGTGATTCAAACAATGTGAAACCCGTATTTTCCAAGGTCCGTATTACATACCGGCACAACACAGTCACATCAAAGGCTGATAAAGCGTTACTCACGATATCGCCCAGATATATTTTCTCAAACTTGAAGTTGTTAAGTTTGTAGCCGGACATGGTAGTGGCCAAACTATGCTCGAACTGAGTCTTCAGAAGGTTCTTCACGTAGTCACCAACGTACGGCCACATCTGCTTCAGCATCTGAAGAATCATCCACGATCTTTTTAAGTCAGGAAACTGGCGACAGAACTCATCAGACTGCAACAGTAGCAAATGAATTCAAAATTGAAAATTTCAAATGATGCAGCTTACAAAATTGGAAGAAAGGGTGTATGTAGCACACATGGGCATTGCCTACCTTGTTCAGCCATTCTGCTCTTTCAACGTCCGGGAAATGTACCTGTACAGAAATGGAAAAATACGTCACCGTACATCCACAGGGAACCCTGTTTTCAGCAGAAACAGGTATGAACTTGAAAAATATGTGCACTTGTCTAAGCTGAAACAAAAGTCACGCGGGTGCCAAGTAATCCTGGATGTCACAATGCACTGTTCGTCGCGGTATCACCACGGGCCGCGTCCGGCTTGCCGGGCCGCAAGCGCACCCCACTCACCCAGGAGGGCAGGTCCTGCAGCTTGGCCAGCGTCACCTGCTCGCTGTTCAGCGCGATGGCGCGCGCCAGCGCACGCTTGTTGCGCTTCTCGCGGCGCCACTTTTCGCGCATCACCGACAGGATGATGCCACCCAGCAGCCAGGCAGGCGACAGCTCCAGGTAGCCGATAGCATAGATGCCGAGGATGGCGGCCGTGCGGCGTAGGAAGATGATGCCGAGCGCCGAGGCGCCGCCGCTGCCGCCCTCACTCATACCCGCTGCTGTTGGCCTGCAGCGACGGTCATGGGTGACACTGACAATCCTACATACTGGGTTGTGATTCGGATCATGACAAAACCATGCACACCATCCAGTCCACAAGCAAATGATGCAGGCAGAATAAGGTCTTAGAAAATGGTGCACTGGAAACAGAGTGGAGGCAGGACAACCAAGAGGCCGTTAAATACAGCAGAGCTCTGCACATTAATCATGTAGACACAGCCACTCTTTGCAAATAAGATGAAGATGCAAATAAAAGCTGAAACCTAAACACACACTGAAGGTATAAAATTGAGTTACACCACAAGATTCTGCATTTAATATTCAAGATAAGTATCAATGCTCGCAAAGAAACCAAAATGTTTTGTTAATGCCCATACATAAATACCCAAGCAATAAAACATGGCATGCTACGCATAGCCTAGCAAAATTAATTCAAGGCACTGCAGTGCACCAAATATTCATAGTTGTCATAGCATATGAACCAGGGTATCTGATGCACAAAATGCTTCATCATTTTTGTCTTAAGGAAAAAATACATATCATTTTATTTGCACATGACAATATTTCATTGTCCCAATACTTTAGAAGACAAAATCCTTCAACATTTGTTTTCCAGAAAGATAAAGGCCAGTGTTCTTGCACATAACAAATAAAGATAAAAAGCTTCAATATTTAAATTTAACAAGAATATAGGCTAGTGTTCTGCACATAACAAACTTAATTAATATGTTGCTTTAAAGTCAAATAAGTTAGTTCTATTTTCAGTAGTTTCAATTTTTGCAGCATGAACTCAAGATGCATTTTCATCAGGCTTGGAATTGTAAAGGAACCAACCAGCATGACCAATATTATCCACAACACTGATGGCACCAATTCATATTGGAAATAAAGTTGGAGATGATTCAACCTGTACATCCAGCCCATAACACCACACAAAACTACAGATAATAGGATATATTCATAACCAGCTCAGTGAAATAAATGTACAGTGGACAGTTCTACATAACCTAGCTATGAGAAATGCCAGCCCCACATCATATTTTCAGTATTATTATACTTGTAACTGCTGATGCCTACAAAATGTTTCATCCTGAGCTGATGGGCTTTTTTTACTTGGGTACCTGTATTGCCGACGGTGGGGAGAGAGCTACGCTGGCTGCAGGGTTCCTGTACTGCCATGATGGAGAAATGCTCTTAGGTATCAGCCGACGTAGTGACGTCACTGAAAATGGGTTTGCATCGATCGGGGTTCTTTTGGGCCGACTGAAGGCTACAAGGCATTTGCTAGCGATATGATGTCACTAGTATTCGACTGGATATGTGACGTCACTGGTTGTGAGGCTTCAGGGCTCTTTTGGGTGCAATGAATGCCGTAAAGCATCACCTGACGATATGTCGTCGCTGGTATTCAATGAAACATCAGGCACAACGGGCCTTATTCCGTCTTTACCTTTCGTACCTGTCTGCTGCAAGCATTTGCGTGCCGAATAAAAGCTTGACCGAATCACCTGAATGTGTGACGTCACCAATCATCACTTGATACGAGTGCACTTAGGCCCCACGGCCGCGGTGTATCATGTTCCGTGAAATATCACTGGGTGTCGTGACGTCAGTGATATTCGACTAAATATTGGTCGCAACAGGTCAAGGTTCATTTTTCGCTTCGTACCTGTCTACTGCAAGCACTGGCGTGATGAATAAAAGCTACCAAATCACGCGAGTGTGTGACGTCACTGGTCATGCATTTTTATTGATCTTTGGGGGCCAACTGAGGGCCGTAAAGCATAACCTAATGATGTGACGTCACTGGCATTCGACTGTGTGTGATGTCACTTGTGATCAGATTTTACGGCCTCTTTTGGGCCGACGAAAGGTCATACGACATTAACTGAAGATGTGCCGTCACTGGTATCCGAATACAATTCAGGCGGCCATGGCCATGCTCCATCTTTACCTTTGGTACCTGTCCATTGCAAGTATTTGAATGCTGAAGGAAGGGTCTGCCGAATTACCTGAGTGTGTAACGTCACTAACCATTAATTTGTATAGACTGTTTTGAACCCACTGTAAGCCATACCACATCAGCTGACCATATGACGTCACCGGTTTTCGTCTAGGTGTCATGCGCAACAGGCCATGCTCTATCTTTGCCTTTCGTACCTGTTTACTGCAAGCATTCGCGTGCTATATCAAGGTGATGCTGAACCATCTGAGTGCGTGACGTCACTGGTCATGAGTTTATACAGGTTCACTTGGGCAGCCCAATGCAACAAAGCATCATATCCTGTAAAGCATCGCGGGATGATATGACGTCACTGGTATTCGACTCAACATCAGGCGCAACAGGCCATGTTCCATCTTTACCTTTCGTACCTGTCTACTGCAAGCATTCGCGTGTTATATCACGTCATTGGTTAAGAGTTCTTACGGGCTCTTTTCAACCCCCTATATGGTATAATGCTTCAGTTGACGATATGATGTCACTGGTGTTCGACTTAACATCAGGCACAACATGTCATGTTCCATCTTTGCGTTTCGCACCTGTTAAAGTATTGGCGAGCCTAATGATGGCTCTGCCGAATCACCTGAGTGCGTCATCATGAGTTTTTACAGGCTATTGTTGGCCGAGTGAAAGCCATTAGGCATCATCTAACGATATGTCGTCACTGGCAATCCACTAAGTGTGTGACGCCATTGGTCATGAGTTTTCCCGCGCCTTTTTGGGCCGACTTAAGGCCATTAGGCATCAGGTAACGATATGACGTCACTGGTATTCAATTAAGCATCAGATACAATATGTCATGTTTCATCTTTACCTTCCGCACCTATATACTGCAAGTATTCGCGCGCCACATAAAAGCTCTGCCCAATCACCTGAGCGTGTGCTGTGACTGGTTATGAGTTTACGCGGGTTTACTCGGGCTGACTGAAGGACATCAAGCATCATCTGGCGATGTGACGTCACTGGTATTCAACTTAACACCAGGCGCGACAGGCCATGTTCGTCTTTACCTTTCGTACCTGTCTATTGTAAGCATTGACATGCTTAAGGAAAGCTCTGTGAAATCTCCTGAGTGTGTAATGCCACTGGTCATGAGTTCTTTACGGGCTGCTTTTTTGTACCTATAGGGTACAAGACATCAGTTGACGATATGACATCACTGGTATTTGACTTAATCTCAGGCGCAACAGGCCATGTTCCATCTTTGCCTTTCGCACCTCTATACTGCAAGTATTCGCGCGCTACATAAGGGCCCTGCCGAATCACCTGAGCATGTGGTGTAACTGGTCATGAGTTTACGCGGGCTTACTCGGGCTGACTGAAGGACATCAAGCATCACCTGACCATATGACGTCACTGATATTCGGGCTGTGGCCCAGACTTATGGCCGCTAGGCGGCGTCCTTGATTATTATTTAGCCATCAGGGCATTCCGGACCGTAGCTGCTCAGGGGCGCATCCTGTGATGTCGGGCGGAATAGCTTTGCATATACGTCGGTTTGTGGGCTGGGATCATCTTTGTTTTGTGTTTACTTTTGTTCAAAATTTTAGTCGTTGAAACAGCCCGTTGCGTTTGAAGTTGTTACTTAATGGTGCGCACAATAAAATTAGTGTGCTTAACTATCGTGCATCTCCCACCTCTGCTGCGGAACTCCGTAGCCGTAGGTGGCCAAGTGACCTCCTACCAACTGATGATCAGTGACGTCACATACTCAGGTGATTCGGCGGAGCCTTCATATAGCACGCGAATATTTGCAGCAGCCAGGTACGAAAGGCAAATATGGAGCATGACCTGTTGCGCCTGATGTTTAGTCGAGCACCAGTAACGTCATGTCGTCAGCTGATGCATTTTAACCCAAAATGGGTTCAAAGGAGCCCGTAAAAAACTCGTGACCAGTGACGTCACACACTCAGGAGATTCGACGGAGCCTTCATTCAGCACGTCAATACCTTTAATAAACAAGTACAAAAGGTAAAGAAAGTACGTGGCATGTTGGACCTGATGTTAAGTCGAATAACAGTGACGACATATCATCCTGTGATGCTTCACGGGAGGTGTTGCTTTGTGGCCTTGGGCGGCCCAAGTGAATCCGTATGAACTCATGACCAGCGACGTCACCCACTCAGATGATTCGTCTGGAGTTTAGTCGATTACCAGTGACGTCATATCGTCAGCTGATGCTTGATGTCCGTCAGTCAGCCCGAGTAAACCTGCACAAACTCATGGCCAGTTACACCACACGCTCAGGCGAATCGACAGAGCCTTTTTGTAGCGCACGAATACTTGCAGTAGGCAGGTGCGAAAGGTAAAGATGAAACATGGCTTATTGCAACTGATGTTAATTCGAATACAAGTGACGCCATAACGTTATCTGATGCCTAATGACCTGAACTCGGCCAAAAAAGGCCCGTAAAAGCTCATGACCAGTGACGTCACACACTCAGTGGATTACCAGTGACGTCATTTCGTTAGCTGATGCCTTATGGCTTTCGCTCAGCCAAAAATAGTTGGTAAAAATAATGACCAGTGACGTCGCACACTCAGGTGACTCGGCAGAGCCATCATTTAACGCACCAATACTTTACAGGTACGAAAGGCAAAGATGGAACATGACCTGTTACGCCTCATGTTAAGTCGAACACCATTGACATCATGTCGTCAACTGATGCATTTTTCCCTATAGAGGGTTCCAAGGAGCCAGAAAAAACTCATGACCAGTAACGTTACACACCCAGGAGACTCGACAGAGCCTTCATTCAGCACGTCAATACTTGTAATAGACGGGTACGAAAGGTAAAGATAGAACATGGCCTGTCGCGCCTGATGTTAAGTCGGACACCAGTGACGTCATATCATCAGCTGATGCATTATACCGTTTGGGGGTACAAAAGGTCCCGTAAAAAGCTCTTGACCAGTGACGTTACTTACTCAGGAGACTCGACAGAGCCTTCATTCAGCACGCCCATACTTCCAAGAGACAGGTACGAAAGGTAAAGATGGAACAT